AAAGTCAACTTTGGCCAATTTTCAGTCAAACCTTATAATTTTTGATCCATATCAACATCTTAGACTCATATGTATCATTTTATCAAGTTTGGACCACGATTCCCCAAGAAATTTGATCAAATCATCAAAAGGGCAAAATGGTCAAAATTAGGGTTTTAACTTAGAAAGGGAAATTTTTTATTTTTGACCTAGAAAATGGTCAATTGGTTTAAGGCATGATCCCTAGAGTTCAATTTCATCACCTTGACCTAATGACATGGTTCAAAACATTGCAAATCCATTGGATTGACAGATGAATTTTTCAGTCAACTGATCAAAAGTCAACTGTGCACTGAAAAGTCAAACTTTGACTTTTTGGTCAAATTCAAGTGCCAAGGATCATAATTCATAAAAACATGTCAAAATGTGAAACTTGTTCATCAAGAAATCAAAGATTTAAGATTTGGATTTGAAAAGTTGAAAAATTCTAACTTAGAAAATTTTCTAAGTATAGAAAATTTCTTATTTTATCTCAACTTTACGCCAAATTTTCACCATGATACAAAAGGATTAAAAGGAAGTTCCCAACATGAAAGTTGTAGATCTCCCTGAAATATAAAACTTTTCTTCACACAATTTCTCCTAAAGATTCTTGGATTTCAAGATATAATTTTGTGAATACATGCTCATGAACTAAAATAACTTAGTAAAATTTTGCCCTAGTTAGGCAGGTTTTTGACCTAACTTCATGGAAACTTTTCACCTAGTTCCAAGAGGAATCTTCAAAAGCATTTCAAAGATGGGTTGTAGAGCACATTACAAGATTTCCAAAATTTCCAAGAACTCCTTGAGATCTTTCTTGAGTAGGGATAATCGAAGAGATGAAGTTAGGGTTTTCAAACTTGATTATAGGTCATTTCCATGAAGAACAAGTTTTCAAGTTTACAAATTGGTTGTACAATCTTCACTTTTCAGGCCTCAAACTCGTTTGTCACTCCACCATTAATGAATTGCACAAGGTTTCATGCCCTAAAGCCAAGCATTCAATGCATTGTACAAGGAAATAGCCATTTTTGGAAGAAAGGCAACATTGCCATTTTGGAAAAGCATGCTTTTTGCATTTTTTTTTATTTCTTGAGCCTTGGACTTGTTATTTCTGCACAAACCAAGTCTCTAAACCTGAACAAAACATGTTTAAAGCTTCAAGCCACCCTATAAGATCAGATTGATGCCTTAAGAAGTCACTTCTCACACTTGCTTCAAAAACAAGAAATGTAGCAAGACATGTGATCTTGTACTTTTGAGCAAGCACAAGTCTTCCAATTTTTTGCTCTATATAAAGCCATCATTTTACAACTAAAACCATACATGCCCAAGCCTTGAAACACCTTAGAATCATAAATTTCATACTAAGCCTCCAGACTTTCCATTTCTAACTTGTGAACTGAATCTTCCATTCCACTCGTGCATTTTCAGGCCTTTTGCTTTCCCAAGCTTCTTTACCATAAAAGTAAACTATCCCACACCCTGAAACATCACTGTAACTCCATCTTCCTCATTGTTGAAGTTCAAAAACAGAGTAACACAGGTGGACTTCCCCAGGCCCTTCCAGCCACCCTCAAGATAAGTTAAGCATTGCATTAGCTTCCTAAAGGTTCAAGGAAGCTAACCTGATCATCATAGCATCCTAAAGCAAGCTCATTTTCAAAACACAATTTCCATTTTCAAGGTGAGTTTTCTGTTTTTCTAACTCTTGATACAGGCATAGTTAGTTTTCCATTTGTGAAGATAGAATGCAGACATCATTGCTACAAAGTTGTACATATCCATAGCTTGCATTTATTTGGCTTGAGTTTAGAGAATTTTAAGTTTGAAGTTTTTGAAAAAATTAGGTTAAGAATTAGGGCCAACAAAATGCTCTCTGATCTTGGACTTATAGTTTTATTTATGCACATGGTTAGAATCGTGAGGTAAAATGCTATAATGTTCATGTTATCACTTTCCATTTTTATTGAGAAATGAAAAAGTTACAGGGGGTTCGGCTGGCCAAAGGTTGAAGATGAAGTACAAGGCAAGGAAGTGTTCGATGTTATGTATTTTTGCTTTCATTTAGACAAACGGATGTACAACCACCCCAGTGGCAAGGCAGCACGCCTTGGCGCTGCCTTTTTGCATTTTTCTCACATTTTGCTTCATTTTTGTCCTCTTGCAGCTTGGGCTTCAGCATATTGGGCCCTATGTTTTTTTGCTAACTTTCTGCCTCCCATTTGCTTTCAACACCCCTGGCCCAAATATTTTATTTATTTGTTTTATTTTATTTTTATTTTATCAAATATATTTTCTTAATAATAAAAAATCATAAAAAATATAAAAATGATAAATATTATATTTTTGTTTTATTTCATTTTCTCATAAACAATATTTATTTTTATATACTATCCTTTTTATTTAAACTTCTGAATTAAATTGAAATTAGTTTAAATACTTATTTTTCTTCATACCTATTAAATATTTATTTTAACATATAAAAAGATCAAAATACTTCATAAATACCATATATTATTTTTAATACAAGAATACAAAAATACTTAAAGAAATTTATTACCTTTTAATAAATTAGAATTAGGATTTAATCAAAATCTTTTCTAAAAAATAATCTCCTTCCTTAATTAATTTAAGTTTAATCTTGATTTGTTTATTAGGCTTAGGTTAAAACTTTTTTTACATAAAAAAGAACAAAACAAAACCTTCTTTTGCATTTACATATCTTTGCATATTCAAATTATCTTGTACATTATTTATTCCAATAATTGTATAAATTCAATTTGGTTGTAATAGATTAATTAGGTTTATATTATTGCAATCCCCGTTCATAAATTGTATACCCCCTCCCACAAAATGTTGTAATAGTATAGTAAAGTTTAAATTTCGTAATTTATTGCTTTACATAACATGTTAGTAATTAGGGTTTGTATGGCAAGATAAAACCAATCAAATAGAAAACCCTAATCCAAGACAAAATTAAGCATGAAAATGACACACTCGCACACAAGACACCCTTAAGGTTATCCCACTTTGTTGCCTTATACAAAATGGCCATATTACGCATGTAAAGTGTCTTAGCAAAAACAAACAAATACAAGATCATAGACTCTCGATGACGCTATTCAAATTTGCCTTACAAAAATGATCTTAGTCCCTCAAAAATGCTAAGATACTTTGCAACATTGCTAATCATGGCTATACGATGACCCGCGCCCGTCCCGTTTACATCCAAAGAAAGGGTTGCTTACCAAATCAATGGTAAGACAACAATGTCAAAGGAAAAGAAAATGAACAAGAAAGATATTTGAGTAGGTAGATTACTCTTAGTTACTTGCTCCATTTCAAAATAAATATCCTTGTTATTTTCAAAACAAACACCTACACTTTCAAAAACATCTTACAAACATTGAAAACATTTTCAAAAAGACAAACATCTTTGTATACATTCTTACGAACGAGAATCATTACAAAGATTGCCTAAACAATGGACTCTTTTACAAAATACTTTCAAAACCACACAAAGCACAATTTCAAACAAAAGCAAGTGATCTAGAAAGTAACTAAGAGCCCATGGAAAACCATGGATGAAAAGGGTGCTAATACCTTCCCTTTTCATAATCTACCCCCCGAACTCAAGAAAACAATCTCAAAGGTCTTTCCTGTGCTTTTTCACCTTTCCTTTTGGATAAAAGAAAAGTCGGTGGCGACTCTTGCTAACCGCAACATTTGCGATAAAACACAAAACCCTCAAGTCAGTTCTCCCACCGTATCACAGGAGGAATTAAATATAACCCTGTTCTTGCACGAACATAGCTTGGCTATCCGATTAGGGATAAACCAAATAGTATTCATTTGAGTAGTTTCTTTCTGAAGGATAGAGAAGACCATAGGGAAGCTAGGAAGCAGATTGCGAAGGCCTGGCGTCACATTCATAAGAAGAGTAGGAAGTATTTGGGACCTAGGGGTGTTGTTTCTTTGGAGCCATATCTTCAGTGGGTCCGAATGAGAGCTATTCAGTTAAAGATGTCGTATTCCCGGGAAACACCTATGCCTGATCTGTTTGTAAAGACTACTCCTCCCTTATTGGATGATCTAGAAGAGCTGCAACTTGCTTTGGTTAGGATGCAATAGGAAAAGGATGCTTGGAAGAACAAGTTCCAAACTTTAGAGATTTCCTATAGAGCATACTTGAAGGAGAAAGATGAATTAATTGAGATCCTTTAGAGTCGAGCGGTAGAGACTATGGAGTGGCAAGGGGGTTTATTTTCTCCTAAGCCTCCATCAGATGCTGATCACTCACTTCCTGATTCAGTTGATTGGAAAGAGGTTTCCATCAGACATGCGAAAGAAAACCATAGGTTGTAGGCTCAGATTTCCAGGCTCACAGGGAAGCGCCAGTATATAGAGTGATCTTCATCAGTTTTACTTCTCAGGGTTTTAGATTTTTATTTCATCTTGTACTTGGTATCATTGAAAATTGTAATCCATTTTGGAATTGTTATAATAAAAATTTTCTGTATTTCAAATGCGTTATTACTTTGATATTTGCAATATGTCCACAAATTTTAAATCCCTTGAAATATTAAATAAAATAAAGGGTTAATACCTATTTTCACCCCTGACATATGGGATGTATTTGAAAAACCCCTCTGCCAAAAAAAAAGTTCAAATTGTTACTTTGACAAATTTTAAAAGTTTCAGTTTTTACCTTGAGGATGCCACATCACCTAAAAGGCTGATGTGGCTTATATTTTTGTTACATTTGTAAGTTTTTGTTATGCCATGTCACACAATACCAAATAAAATGTCCAGAATACCCTTTTCTTAAAATCCCAAATTATTTGGCAAATGCTATGTTTCAATTCAGACCCTCCAAATTAGGGCGCAGCCATCTTCATCTCAGCAACCCAACTTTTGCTTTCCTCTTCATCTTTAAGTTTTCTTTGATTTCATAAACATGAGTCAACCAAATTGTTCTACTTCAAGCTTATCTTCAAATGGTAGAGTAACTCCCAAATTGTAACTACTTCAAGCTTATCTTCACATTTCCTTGTAGCCCTCTTTGAACAAGATCCTAAGACACTTTTGGGCACCAAAACACTGACCTTGTCCCTTTTGCTCTTTTCTTTCATCTTTTTGGGATCCTTGGATGCACAACGCTTGAATCTCAATGATTTCCCTTCGATCTCCACCCTATTCCCACTAACTGGAACAACTACCTCCACTTGTTCAAATTGCTCTTCTTCTATGTCAATTACTCTTTCCTCTTCACTGTCATTGAAACATTGGCTTGCATCAACATAGTCACCAGTACTATCATCTCCATTAGAGGTGCTGAAGTCATCAACATTAGGTACCAGAACCTTGGTCATCATGTCTTCTACACCGTGCTCTACCCAAAGATCGTCGTGAACCCTACAAGACATACAATGCTTAGCAACTTCTACAGCTCCTGCATCATCAACAACATTTGTAAACCCTTCATCCGTTTGCGGAATCTTTCTCCATAGCCTAAAACCTTCATAACCCCAATCTTTAACCAGACTAACAGCTTCAAAAAAGCTCCATTTATCTTCGTCCCGACCATCAACAGTAGTCTCACTACCTCCTCTATAATACGTATGGCCGTCTTGCACGAAACTTCCCCCATGATGAAACACTAAATTAAACACACCCATTTGCAAGGATGAAGAACCCTAATCGCAGGGTCTGAATTGAAACTGGATTTTTTTGTAAAATAATTTTGCAAACAAATGAAGATGGATGGCTGCGCCCTAATTTGGAGGGTCTGAATTGAAACATAACATTTGCCAAATGATTTGGGATTTTAAGAAAAGGGCATTCTGGACATTTTATTTGGTATTGTGTGACATGGCATAACAAAAACTTACAAATGTAACAAAAATATAAGCCACATCAGCCTTTTAGGTGATGTGGCATCCTCAAGGTAAAAACTGAAACTTTTAAAATTTGTCAAGGTAACAATTGGAACTTTTTTTTTGGCAGGGGGGTTTTTCAAATACACCCCATACGTCAGGGGTGAAAATAGGTATTAACCCTAAAATAAAATCATGTGCATTGCATATCATGCATCATATTATGCATATTTCTTGCATTTGTTATGCATATCCAGGTGTCTTACCAAGCTTTTTTACTTTGTTCAACAAGCTGACTCACCACTACAACACTCGGGCTAATCTCAAAGAAGATGGACAACCTAGAACAAGAGAATTGCGAGTTGCGCGAGGAGGTTTCTGCTTTGAAGGCCAACATGGACAATCTGACTACTCTGATGGAAGCTCTGGTGGCTGCTCAGAATCAGCCACTGAGTGTCCAACCTCAACCAACAAGGGAAACTACTGAAGCTCTGACTGTTCCCGTATCTTCTACTCCAGCTGTTGTTCATAATCGCATGCCTCAAGGTTATCCATGGGGAGTGCTAGAGAATTTTACACCTGAATGTTTCAATCTTGGTCCTCAAGATACTCTGATTGTTCAGACTATTGTTACTCCGGCACCTCCTGTGTTGCATGCTGCTCCTGCTGCGCCTCCGTCAGTGAATATGGTTCCGTTTATTAATGATGATGTGTGTCGTCCTTTCCCTCCACCGAGTGAAGACTTGGGTCTTTATGACAGAATGGATGATTTTCAAGAGCAGATTGACAAGATGCAAAGAGAGATGAAGGCCCACAGGGGAAAAGAGCTATTTGGGAAAAATGTGAATGAGCTATGCTTGTTTCGAATGTTAAGATACCTGATAAGTTTAAGGTCCCGGAGTTTGAGAAGTATAAGGGCAACACTTTCCCTCATGCTCATCTGGTGATGTACGTGAGGAGAATGTATACCCATACTGATGATCAGCATCTACTGATTCATTTTTTTCAGGATAGTTTGAGCGGGGCTGCGCTAAAGTGGTATATGAGTTTGGAGAGCGCCAATATCCATACTTTCAATGATTTGGGAGAAGCATTCATCAAACAATACAAGTACAACATGGACATGGCGCCTGACCGTGATCAACTCAGGGCCATGGTTCAGAAAGACAAGGAACCGTTCAAAGAGTATGCACAGAGATGGCGTGAGGTAGCCTCCCAAGTGATTCCTCCCATGGAAGAGAAGGAGATGACTAAGATTTTCTTGAAAACGTTGGGTGCTTTCTACTACGAAAGGATGGTGGCAAGTGCGCCAAATGATTTTACTGAAATGGTAGGAATGGGTATTCGCTTAGAAGAGGCTGTAAGAGAGGGCCGCTTAACGAAGAGTGAAAGTTCTGGAGGTGTGAAGAAACCATCTTATGGGTTTACCAAGAAGAAGGAAGGGGATGCAAATGTTATTATGCAAGAGAGGAGGGTTAATACCCCTAGAAGGAATTATCAGCATCATCAGCAGGTCGCCTCAGTTACTCCAGTTGTGGGTGAAGCTCCAACTACTGTTGCTTATCAAAGACCATCCCAGCAGGGGAATCAAGGGTATAATCAGAGAAGGGAGAGTTATGACCCTATTCCTATGAGCTATACCGAGTTACTACCGGCATTGATTCAGAAGAAGATGGTTCAGACCCGACCATCTCTCATCGTACCATCATCATTGCCTTGGTACTACAAAGCAGACCAAACATGTGCTTTTCATTAGGGAGCACCGGGGCATAATGTTGAGAATTGTTATCCTTTAAAGACTGAAGTACAAAAATTGGTGAAGTCCAGTATCTTATCTTTCAAGGATGTGGGCCCTAATGTGAAAGACAATCCTCTACCCAAGCATGGGGGAGTAAATGTTGTGAATATGGTGGCCGGTTGTCCAGGCGACTTCCGGATTTTTGATATTAATCTGGTTATAGGAGATTTGGTGAAAATGCATACAGACCTTTGTGAATTTATCTACTATACACATGACCATGTCGGTTGTGCTATTTGTAGTACAGATATACAGGATTGCAATAAGATAAAGGCTGATTTACAAGAGATGATGGATGAGGGCCTAATCCATATAATCATGCCTAGGGAAGAGTATGAAGAGGAGGTGAATATGATTTCTGGATGTCCTGGAGAATTCAGAATTCTTGATGTAGAGTATATGAATGAAGACCTTGTGCAATTGCATGCTACCTTCTACCATATGGCTGGCCAGGTGGAACACCAATATGGATCTTGCTGAGTTTGCTTTCGAGATTCCCAAGGATGTTTAATCGTGAAGAAGGGTGTTCAGTTATTGTTAGACAAAGGAATTATCAAGGTTACAAGTCAAAGGGATGATTACCATGAAGTTGATATGGTTGAGGTTTGTTTAATGGAAGAAGAGTCAGACGAAGAGTATGTCTCTGCATATGAGTATTTCTCCTCAGATGAGGATTTGTTTTCCAAAAATGACTCAATAATGACTGATTATGTTGAACAAGGGGTAAACGTCATTGTACCTTGTTTTGGGGCACCCGCCCATCTTGAAGTTGAGTATTATAGCAAGCCAGTTGTTACCCCATTGGTGATTAGTTTACCGGGTCATATCCCCTACAAGTCAGATAAGGATGTACCTTACAAATACAACGCTACAATCTTAGAGGATGGAGTGGAAGTTCCCATCCAGCCAATGCCTGATGTTCGGAATATTGCTGAAAATAGCAGGGTGACCCGTAGCGGTCGTGTGTTTGCATCGGTTTTTTGAAGAGATGTTAGTGATGGAAAGAAAATTGCTGAGAATGTTGAAACCAAGAAGGCTACGGGTGAGACTAGTGGGGTTGTGTTAGAGAAAGAAGTGGACGATATTTTGAAAATAATCAAGATGAGCGACTACAGAATTGTAGATCAGCTACTGCAGACTCCTTCAAACATATTTATCTTAGCTTTATTAATGAACTCTTCTGCTCACAGAGAATCCTTGATGAGGGTATTGGACCAAGCTTTTGTGGAAAGTGATATGCCAATAGACCAATTCAGAAATGTAATAGGGAACATTACGTCATGTAATAACTTGAGTTTCTGCGATGATGAATTACTAGATGAAGGAAGGAATCACAACTTGGCCCTCCACATCTCTTTGAACTGCAAGAATGATTCACTATCTAATGTGCTGATTGATAATGGATTTGTGTTGAATGTTATACCGAGGAGTACGCTTATGAAGTTGAAATATCAAGGAACACCTATGCGCCCGAGTGGCATCAATTTGATAGCGTTCGATGGATCAAGGAAATCTGTTATTGGTGAAGTGGACTTGCCTATTCATATAGGACCACATTTGTTTCAGATTACTTTCCAGGTCATGGAAATTGTTCCTGCTTATAGTTATTTGTTGGGACAGCCGTGGATTCATGAGACAGGGGCTGTCACTTCAACTTTACACCAGAAACTGAAGTTTGTACGTGAAGGGAAAGTGGTGATCATAAATGGGGAACAAGCATTATTGATATTTCATTTGTCCTCTTTCAGCATTGTGGGGGCGGATGAAGCTTCTGTTGAAACCCAGTTCCAAGCCCTATCCATTGACAATATAAGAGGAAATGAGAATTCCATGGTTTCACTTAAGGATGCGCAGCAGGTTGTACGTAAGGGTCATAGTGAAGTGTGGGGACGGATTGTGGATCCACCTGTGAACAAGAATAGAGCTGGCTTAGGGTTCTCTTTGAAGAATGACAAAGGTAAGGGCATGAAGCCGAAGTCTGCTGCAAGCAAGTATCAAGACATCTTCTGTAGCGGGGGTTATCTTCATCCAACTATTTCCAGGATCAATGCCATTGTGGAAGATGAAGCAGAGCAGGAAAGGCCGAATTATGTGACGCACGGAGTTATGGTCCATAACTGGATCACCATTGATGTTCCCTCTTGCATGCATGTTTTAAAGTAATTTGTTTTGTTAATCTTTTTGAAAAAAAGCTTTCACTCTGCCCAAGGTGGAAGTATAAATGTTGTAGGGCTTATCTGCTTGTTGTGACCTTTAAAATCAATAATAAAAGTTGTCTTTGTTTCCAAAATTGTGTCTTTATTTTCTGCTTTTTCTCGGAAAATGGTAGTAAAAAAAACCCTTCAAAATAAATAATATTTGAAATTCAATTTGCATGATCACTTTTTATATGTGTCAGTTTCTAAAAGCAATCATAAATCATATGTGCAGATTAATTAAAAAAACTCGTTGAATACAATGACCCTGCACCCTCTCCCAACTTTGAATATCCTGTGTATGGGGCTGAAGAAGAATATTATGATGAGATTCCAAAAGAGGTCTCACGGTTGCTTGAGAATGATGAAAATACCATTCGGCCATATAAAGAGCCATTGGAGGTGATTAATTTGGGTTCAGAAGAAGATCTGAAGGAAGTCAAGATTGGAGCATTACTGCATCCTGATGTTAAGAGCAGGTTGATTGAGCTGTTGAAAGAGTATGTGGATATTTTTGCTTGGTCTTACCAAGATATGCCTGGTCTAGATACAGATATTATGGAGCACCATTTACCGTTGAATCCATAGTATCCGTCAATCAAACAGAAGTTGAGAAGAACTCACCCAGATATGGTAGTGAAAATCAAAGAGGAGGTTCTAAAGCAGATTAATGCTGGTTTTCTTGTGAAGTCAGTGTATCCTCAATGGATTTCCAATATTGTCCCAGTACCGAAAAATAAGAAAAAGTCTGCATGTGCGTAGATTACAGAGATCTAAATAAAGTTAGTCCAAAAGATTATTTTCCATTG